AGAGGACCCCCTCGATGTAAATATAAAGTATTTCAATATAAAGGGTTTTTTCTGGGGTAAAGAAAACATCATGAGGATTATTCTACATTAAATTTCTGCCAATAGATCCTTTCACTGGAGCTTTAAATCATCACGACATAAAACTGTAAAATCTGAACTGAGATCTGTATTAATTGTTTTTTTGAAGTACTTCAAACTCGTTTAGAATGTGAAATGAATGTGATAATACCCACTTATCAAAAACTAAACGTACTTTAAAATCAGTTTTTCTGGCCTGAGGACAGAAGCCTCTTTTATCACCAGATTGCTATCAGATGTGTTCCCCCCCTTATCTCACACAAGTATGTTGAGCAGACAATGCATTGACTTTACGACCTGCAGCACAGCGTGGGTTTAGATTAAGATGCGCATGATGTCTGTCCCTGTCCTATAGATGTCCCGCAGTGTCGGCCCGTCTGTTTGTGGTACAGACTTGTCCAGGCGTGCAGTGAAGACGGAGCATGTAGGTTGTGTACACACTGCAATGAAACATGACGGTGATCTTGTGTTTCCGTCCCATGACGGAGAAGGTGTCGGGTTAAAGATTATCTGAAGCCATTAAATCTAATGGACCTTTTCATCCCTGCTCTTGTTTTTTTCTCTTGAGGTTTAAAGTTGTTCTGTAACTTGAGGTCTGACGGTGAAGGAGGTTGCACAACAGCTTTGCTTTGAAATGTCTGGGAGGAGCTGGTGTAGATAGATACCTTCACCAAGGAGGCCATGTTTTCATTTTGTTCCTTTGTCAGCGCGATAATGCAAAAACTACAGAACCGAAGATGAATGGAAAGATGGGATATCGGCCCAGAAAGAAGAAATTGTGACTTGTGAGTTTTCTCCAACCATCCATTGTCTTCTGCTTATCCAGACTTGGGTCGAACAGGTATCTGTCCAAGTACGGTGTCCCAGACGTCCCTCTCCCTAGCACCTCTTTCCAGCTCTTGCTGGGGGATGTTCCCGGGCCAGATGGGATATGTGGAGTCTCCACCCTGAACTAACCAAGCTCCCTTTGGGTGTCTGACCTCCTCATTCAGCCCGAACACCCAACGGAGAAAACTCATTTCAGCTGCGTGTTTTCCTGCCCTTGTTCTTTTGATCACTGCCCAGAGCTCCTGACCATAAGTGACGGTTGGAATGTAGCTCGACTGGTAAATTTGCCTTGCAGCTCTGCTCCGTCTTCACCAGTGATGCGGCACGACGCCCGCATTAATGCTGAGGCCGCACCCACCTGCTCATCTAGCCCTTCATCTTTACTGCACTCCTGAACACGATCCAGAGATACTAACCAACTACCCCGGAGAGATCGACCTATGCTTTTCCTGCAGAGAACCATGACCTTGGACTCGCGGGAGCTAAGTCTCATCCCGAACTCTTCCGACTCGGCTGCAACCAAATAAATCTTCACCATTGTGAGAAAGGTGTTGTTTTGTTTTGACAGTTTCTCTGATTTCCTGAAAATGATTCATTCATACGATCCGGTTTGCTCAGAAGACTTTAGTCTTTTTTAAATTGGATGCAGCTTGATTGAACTGAAGCCCTGGTGAAGTTAAGAGCTCTGCTGAGACGTCCCACTTGTGAGAGTAACAGGTCACATCCTGCACAGAATCCCAAAAACCACCCAGAGGCCAAATGGATTCCCACGAAACTTAGCGGGAGGATGGGACACGAGCTGAGACAGAACTATTTAAATTGTCCACAGTGGATCCTGATGATTGGGAGCTGTGTTTTTTTTTTTTTAAATCACTTTCTTTATAATTGTGAGCTTTAGCAATTTTTACATTTTTACAGATTTCCTAGACAAATATTCATCAATCAATACGATTCGACGATGCAGATCCAAGTAAAAATCAGGATCTGGTGGATTTAAATGTAGTGTCATAAAGGGGGTTTTATTTTATTTTATTAAAAATACACACATTATCACATTACTTAAAGATTTCATGTGTTGTACAGTTAAACCAAATACTTGAGTACTCAACATGCGAGACACTTTTGAATCCTACACCTGGTTCAGCCTGAGGGAAACGACATCAACGTCCCAGAAGCAACAGATAATCATCTGACAGCGCCTTAATTAAGAGGCCCCACCTCCCAGCCTTCAGGCATGTCCATTAAGGTGGTTATTTATTTAAGGTGGAGCTGTGAATAAATTACACAGAAAGTAAAGTCGTCGTTTCAATTAAATGTCTATTTACACCTGCAAACGGAAATGGAAGAGAGCGACAGACAAATGTGAAAGTGCATTTGTTTCAGCTGTTTCTCTCTGTGAATCCGCAGATTAATTATTTACTTCAAGATGTTTTTTTTGCTTTTGTCGGTTTAGGACGAACAAACTACGAGAGCTCTGTGTTTATATCTTGTATGACTGTCGGTACGTTGGAATTCAGAAGTTTGTGGTTGAGTTCAGCGTCTGTTCTTAACGCTTGCGTTGTCCTGTGTTGATGCTCCGACACTTCAGAATGAGCCCTCTACAATAAATACAACTGAAGATTATAGAAATGAAAAATGAATTGTCTTCATTACTGTTCACGTGTTTGGTTTATATATAAGTTTGGATGATTGATAGATCAGTTATGATTAGTTCATTCTAAAACAGCTTTTTGTCAGTGTTGTGTTACAGAAGCAGTAATGAGCATTTTACAGGCTGTAATTAGTGACCTGTGTTTCCACCTCTCAGTGAAGGATTTTTTTTTTTATATTTACACAATCAGTCCAGGGAATGAACAATCAATGGATCGGCTTCTATGTGACGGCAGCGAACCGGAAGACGTCTTTATCAACTGTTCGCTCACAAAGAATAGGACCCATCCAATTAGAGAGAAGCTGCAGCTCATCAAACAGCTTTTCCACTGAATACATCATTTCTCAGTGGAGCTGTTGGTGGAAACACTTTGACAACAACACAAATGTTTCGGCAAAGTTAAAGAAGAAACGTGATGTAATTACAGTGAAAACCACTGAGGGAGTGTGATCAGGATCATTAATTAACCACTAAACTGCAGAGGAAGGAGATTATTCTTCGAGGCTGAAAATAAAAGGAAGGATTGAGCTTCGTGAACACAGACCAGGATTCATTTTGTTGCTCCCTGATTTAAGAAACTCTGTAAAACTCTGCTTCCTCCCGTCACAATGTTTTACAGAATATTCTGTTCTTTGTATTAAAGTCACTCATTCAATGTTGCATCTTGAGAAACTTTGCTAGATTGTGTTTTTGTCAGATTCAGGTTCAAACGTCAGTGAAATCATTTCAGCCCCTCGGTCGTCACTGTGACCTCTGACCCTGAGTCTCCACACATCCACAGGACACTCACTTGCGTAGCGGTAGTAGAAGTCGTTCTCGTAGTCAGAATGACCGGTCTTGTTGTGCCACTCTGCTGCGTCCGTCTCGTAGTCGTACTGCACCAGCGTCCCAAAGAGGATGATGAGGATGATCTCCAGGATGAAGCAGGTGATCGGCAGCTTCAGCCGCATGTTGGTTGCTGCGTCCGTCATGTTGTCTTCACCGGTGAGGCGAGGAGGGGAGGTTTGATGAGGATGAATAGGGATCACAGATCCAGCACAGAAAGTTGGACACACTCTATCACACACAGACCAGGGACGTCCTGAGCGCAGAGACAGGAGGCTGGTGTGTGTCTGTGTGTGTGTGTGTGTGTGTGTGGAGGGGGGTTAGAAGAGGAGGCTCACAGACACTGAACTGTCTTACACGTGTGTTTTTGTTCTTTTGGGCCACACCCACCAGACCCGCCTCCTCCACAAATGAGGCAGAGTCACTTTGAGCTCCACCCCTTTGCTACTGTGCTTTTTAAATTCCTCGGAATCAACTTGTGAGTGAAATTTCTGCTAATTCCAGAAATTAGTCTGTGAATCTGTCTGTGAATCTGTCTGTGAATCTGTCTGTGAATCTGTCTGTGTGTCTGTCTGTGTGTCTCTCTGTGTGTCTGTGTGTCTTGATGACCATTCAAGTGCAGCACTTTCTCTATCAGAGGCACTTTGGGGTTTAAGGACACTTGGTCATGCGGGATGGTGGAGACGGGGATCAACCCTGTGGTTAGAGGACGACCCGCTCGACCTCCCGAGAACAGTTCAGTTTATTTGCTTCACGCTTCAGGATCCAGTGAAGAGCAGAATTGATTTAAGAGTCTTCTGGGACTCAACAACCAAAGTGATGATGTCGATCACAACGACGCTAAAAACAAGTGATTCTGCAGCTTCACTGAACTTTGGATTAACAGGTGAACTGCACTGCTGAGAAACTATAGGTCAGAGCACACGACGGATTCATTTAAAGACTGTACTTACTCATGGTTCAGCATCGAGCCCCAAAGAAACTGTAGCATGTGGACAGGGAGAGCCGGGGATCGCATCACTGATTCTCTGGCTAGTGGACGACCCGCTCTACATCCTGAGCCACAGCCACTGTTTAACAAACACTGGTTTATTTGTGGCAACAGTATAGACACTGATTCACTGACACTGAGACATTAGAGGATTAATGGCTTCAGTACAGACGGCAGGGCCGGGGTCAGGCTCACGGAGTCTTCCTCCTCCTCCTCCTCTAACGTTGGATAAGAGACACACCTGCATCAGTGTCCTCCATCCTTCTCCTCTCAGAGGTGAACCAACTGGCAGGAATGTTGTTTTGATTTTGAGGAATTTGAGTTCTCACCCGTCAGGACCACAGGCGTCAAACAGACACCAGGACAGACCTCTGTCTGCGTCTTGTCTGTCCTGGGCTCCCCATCCAGACTGAAGACCCTTTTTCCACCAGTGAAAGATCCACAAACCTCTGGATTTTTTCTGCAGCGGAAGTTGAGTCAATCATCATTCACTCAGCTCCGGCTCTGATTGGCAGCGATGGAAACATGACTCCCTGATAAATGCACTCTTTCTTCCTCTTCTGTATTCTGGCAGGCGATGCACATTGAACTTCCACGCGTGTAAATAGCCATGAACGTTGTGTACGTACTCTTTTTTTACATTTTGGCAACAACAAACAATGTATCTGGCAAAACGCAGTGAGGTGAGGTAGATTTTCTGGAACGTTTGTGACGTCGAACATGGCTCATGGGGGAATAATAACAGAACAGTTGACTCCTCTATTGACAATGGGAAATGAGCAAATAGTCTTTTCTTAGCATCAGAAGCTACGTTAAAACTCCTGCGTATACTCAATGCTTCAGGTGTAAAAGAGGAATATGTCTGAAGTGAAGAATATACCAGTGGATCCAGGTGAAGTCTTGTTTTGAGCGTGTGTCCCTTTAAGGAACCCAACACTTCATCCTCAGGCCATGTGGACCAACTGTGGGCGCAAGTCCTGTCTCGTCTGTTTCCCTCATCACTTCATCTCACAGTTACAGTTACACCTAAATCAACAAGCCAGGTTCACACACGAGAGCAGAGGAACTCCAGAGTAGTGTGGACGCCAGGCGTATCTGCAGCAGAGTTCAAATCGAAACGTAGTAGTGTGACGTGGCCTGAACGTAAAACCATGTCGCTCGTGTCGCCTGACTCCACGCGGCGAGGTTCACATGTGCGTGCCACACATTTTCTTCCTTTACTCTGGATTCTTGTCGCTCCATCAGTGCAGCTGTCCGTCTCCTGATAGCACAATCTCCCAATCGGAGGAGGGGGAGGAGGGGTGGGGGGCACCAACAGTAACTTCATGGAGGCGACAGGAGGCCGGCACCAGATGAGACGAGATAAACACAAGACCAAACCTGCCTGTTATGTAACACTGAGATAACATACGTTAGGAAGTCGCACAGGTACTTCACACTTAACCTGCCTCTGCACAGAGGAGCTATTATACTGCAGCGTGGGTCCTGCACGGTCACTGCACGGTCACTACGTCTGCAGCAACATTCATCCATCACGTCAAAGTACAGAGAGAATAAAAGTATCTGCTGATGGGCTCATTTCATTTCACATATTTTACCGTGGGATCAAAAGTAAAACCTTCAGTTTCTTCAGTATGTTTTTCACACTGTGGTCTGGTTTGATAAAGAACTCAGTCCACTGTCCCTGTGGATTCAAGCTGCACCAAATGTCACACACTCATAAAAATAATAATAATAATAGTAGTAAAGAGTTTATTACTACAGTGCCTCTCAAAAGAGTTGGCAACTTGTAGAAAAGCGAGATCACACTCAACGAGGCAATAAAACAAAACAGATCAACATTAAATACATCATAAAAAACTATAAAAAACGTTTGAATACTCCATTTCACTGAGGAACCTTAAAACTGAGTGAGGTTATGTGTTGTATATGTATATAAGTACACACACACACACACACCAGAGCAGCTCCAGGCTGAACACAGAGGACAGGTATGGGAATGTTAACTTATCTTCCTCCTGTTCTGATCAATATCTACCTGAGTGATGATCACAGAGCGTCCGCGTGTCGCAATCGACTGGGACGTGATTGGTTGAAGAATCTCAACCCCGACAGTTACAACTCAATGACTTTACATCAGCAAACGTTTGAGTGAAAAGTAAAGTCAAATTTAAAATGAAGTTTTCTTTAACACCTGACAGCCAATCAGTGAAGAGCCTGCATGACATTAAAAATCAATACCTCACATTGATCAGCTGATTATCAGCTCAATGAAATGAGATGTCACCGAGATGCATCAGTGATGGAGACAATGACATGTCAGATAAACAAAATGTCACAATGTGAAACTGTCATGTGACACATCACGAGACAAACAACCACGAGCAAGATACCATCACTTCCACCCAGGGCCGTGCACAGACGTGCATCAAACACACATTCATCAAATACGAGAGGGAAACTGAATTAGTTCACACTTCGTTGTTTCAGAGAACATCAGCTGTGAACGGTTCCTCGGACCAGAAGAGGAGTTCTGGGTCTGGATCAAACTGAACCATGGTTCTGTTGGACAGTTTGGACCAAGCACAGGAAGTAGAGACACATTAAACCATAGAAGAAGAAGAAGTAGAACAAGAAGCAGCTGCAGTCTTCACCTCCGACGATATAATGCTTGAACCACGAGGACGTTCATCTGTCAGATACAATTCTTTAGTGCGCTCCCTGAACTAAATAAAAATAAAGATGGACCACATGACTGCTCCCAAAAGTGAAGCCAAAGCGTCTCGATCGCCCCCTGGTGTCTGGCTGCAGTATAGGTCATAAAACCTCCTCCTCCATGTTGGTAGATATCAGCTTCATTACACTGTTTAGTGCATGTAATGTAAAAACATTACCATCTCAAATCCAAAGCTGATAGTTAATAGTGTTGTGTTTACAGCTTGTTTCTGGTGCCCCCATGTGGGCAAAATGTAACCTACCCAGCATTCATAGTGGTAGAGGCTGCCAGTCAAGCCTCACAAAGGAGAGAAAAGGGAGGTAACCAACGAGCTCTGCTGCCATCACCAAACACAATCACATGAATCTGCTCCACTGGTGTAGAAAAGGAATTAAAAACACTTTTCACTTTCTTTTCTTTTTCTATAAAGACTTTCGTGGTTTGCTGCACAACTAAGGGTCAAAGGTCAAATCCAGGTATGTTATCCAAAGGTACCCGCAGCTGCCTGCATGTAGAGCAGGAGGTTACAGGTAACGCTCGGTCAGAGAGGCCCCCGCTGTCTGAGCCATGTCAGGAACATTCACTTTTCAAAACGACGACCAGGGCAAATCTGTCACTGTGCTCAAACAGGAGGGCTTCTGGGAGAATGTTAGAAATGTCTTCACCGGAGGGGGGGCACATTCTTTCTTACTTTTACCTGTGAGGCTGCCCTCGTGACCCCATCACTTGTCACTGCTTAAGTCAACACAGTCACGCAAGGATGCGTCCCGCAAACCGATACTGCACCGGTGCTGCAGACACGCCCGACCTGCTCGGCTGTCAGCGTCGCTCGTCTGTTGCTCGAGAGACGTTCAGTCATTCAACGCATCAACTTCTGTTGTTTTTTCAAAGTGAAACAGTTTGAAAGTTTCCCTCAGTACAGGACGGACCTCCGCCGAGGGCCAAACAATGCAGATCATGAAATCACAATCTCCACAGAAGAATCAAGATTCATGGACGACTCCATCGAGCAAATCAGAGAAAATGCTTCAACTGCCTTTGTTCAGTTCTGTGCCAAAATATAAGTTCTTTCTTGGCCCGGGTCCCTCCCACCGTGTTTGTGTAACTCTTGCAAAGGACGTATCACACAATGTTAAAGGAAGTGATACAAGAATACCTGGATCGTCCTGATCCTCGCTACAGCAACAACCACATCGATCTGGAACCACCAGGTTTTTATTTGAATCTACACCAAATCACAGACACTCAAATACCAGTCCCCTGAATTCTCTGGGAAATTTGTGTAAAAATGAAAAATAAAAAATTATATCGCAATTGAACAGTGTTGAAAACTCTTCTCACACTTCGGCCAATGAGCAGAATCAACACTTTGTTACTTTAAGAACTCGCAGTGCATCGAGAGCAGATCTATCAATCACCAGGAGATGAAGTGTGGGGGAGGCTTTGCTGCAGGGAGAGCAGTGTTTACCTGTGAGACGTCAGCTGCAGAGACAGAACCAGTCCAATGTGGAGACTGAGAGACAAGAGGACGTCCACAACTGATCCTCGTCTCTGTCAAGAAAAACGTTGTGTTATTTCAGTTTTTATTTCAAACTCAAAAAAAACCTTCAAACTTCTTGTATTGTGGTT